TATCTGGGGATCCTCGTTTTTCACCCTGGCTATACATCCTGTGAACAATCGCCGCTGCGGCTCCTGAAAGAAGAGCGAGAGCCCCATTTCTGCTGAATGCACGTCTCAGTTCATCCAAGGCTGGCGGGCTTTTGATGGCCACAATGCGAGTTACGCCCAAAGAGTGTCTCTTTGGTCAGATCGACAACGCTTGGCTTCACGTTTGCAAGTTAAACGGGCAGAAACCCAGCTGAAACTCCCACGCCAGACGCCGGGGACGTTTCCCTCCGCCCTGCTCAGAGCCAAACTGGGGAATGGGTCTGGGCAGGGGGAGGAAAGAAGGGAGGGAGGGGGAGTTGTCAGGAGGCGGCGCGGGAAAAAGAGTCCCGCTTCTAAGCCGCCATCTAGAAGAAAGGGGGGGAGGACCATTTTCTCTAGTATATCCCTCTTGTTTTTATTTTTATTTTCTTTTTCATTTTGCTTTGTTGGCAGCTTTACCCAAACAACAACAAAAAAAATAAAATGAGAGCGTTTTCTCCTTGTCTTCACCTAGGTAGCTGCTTTCCTCTAGCCCCTGAAAATGTGACTCCTTCATAAAATCAAAATTTATGATTATTCAAATGTTGGGGACTGTGAAAAGAGAGGAAGAAAGAGAGAAAATTAATATTGCAGCTGTTCTTCTGATTAATGAGAGATAATTGCTCATGAAAAGTCACCCCTGTGGCATTTTGTTGTCTCCTGGATCTTTGTTCTTTTCCACTATTATTGAGGACTTTCTTGAAGACTAAGCGGTTCTTTTCAATTTTTGGGTATTCAGAAAGGGTTGCCTGGTTACAGAGAATGGGGAAATCTCGGGCTATATCGGGTAAGATGTGCCACAGACAGCAATATCACAATGCCACTCGGAGAAAAGGATGGATACAAGTTAACGATGCGCTTTCAATAAAACATTCATAGACTTGTTCACGCTTTGATAATGACCTCATTAAAGGGAGCTGGGGGCAAGTAAGTCCTGTCTCCTGTTTGTGTTCGGCTAACAAAACCCAGCTTTGAGATCATTCATCGCTTTGGAAACTAATATGAAATCAATGTAAGAGGAGCAAATAAATCCGAGGCCGCCCCGCCAACTCCTGGGCTGTCCCGCCCTGCTCGCGGCCTCTGTTTGGGGCAGGAGAACCGTGTGGGCAAACGCTAAAAAAAAAATGAGAGAAAAAAGGACTAGGAATGGGGGGGGGTCTTTTTCGTGGGGGGGGTGTGTGCAGAGGAAAGGGCAATGTGCGAGTTACAGCCGGTAAAACAGCTAAGCACATCAATAGGTCAGAACTCTAGGGCCTGCGGAATAAGCAATGCTAAGTCCACATTCTTTGCTTTCCCTGACTTTGCCCATGAAAGGAAACAGAAAGAGTGAGAAACAAGAGGGGAACGCGGGGTCCAGGTCAGGTGTGATCCCGGGTGGGGGAAGTATTGGAAGGCTTCTTGAAAGCTACAACCAAGAATCAAATCTCAAGGTTGAGATAGGAGGAAAACTGCTCATCCAGGCTCAAGTGAGAGAGTCCAGGGGCAAGAAGGTGGCACCTCTGAACTGCTTTTATTTTTTTGTCATTGGAGGGTAAGGGTGGGGTACCCTGACTGGTGTGTGTTAGGGGAGTGGAGGGGGGTGCAATTTTGTTACCTTCTTATTTGTGACATTGTCTTGCACTCAAGGAAGACAAAGCCATCCTCTGTCATCCCAGCAAGAGGGAGGAAATCAAAGGATCCCCCTGCCCCTTAAAAGAACTAATTTTCTCCTTGAATTATGAAAGTAATGGCTTAGGTAACAGCCTGTACTCTGTACCCGACTGCTTAATACCGAATAAATCCTTCCACGTGGCTCCCCGAGTCGTGGCAATTAGAGCTCATTATAGGCTCATAAGAGCTCTCATTTCAGGGATTACTTAATGGACGATGAAATTTTATCGGACAGAATCACTGAGAAATAAAATTGCGTGGCAGCGGGGGCACCGTGGGGGCACACTGACAGGCTGCTCAGGGGTCCCCTTCTGCTTTGAGCAGGTTCGAGGAGCTGATGTCCTGGGGAATAGTGTGGCTGGGCAGGCCAGCCACATAGCTGCTCAGGGCCATGGAGGGTAGCCTTCCTTTGGGAATGGGGGAGGCAAGCCACAGTGGGGCCAAGTTCTGAAGATGGGGCTGGGTCGAGAAAAGAAAGAAAAACTGAGAGAGCCAAAGAGAATTAATGAGGAGAATCTGAGGAGAGCCTCCAGTATGGAACGTGACCCTCAAATTCTTGCTCTTGGTGGGCTCAAGCTATTTTTCAAAAATTTTAAAGTTTGTATTTTAATCCCACTTAGGTAATACGCAATGTTATATTAGTTTCAGGCATACAATATAGTGACTTAACACTTCCATACAACACCCTGTGCTCATCACCATGGCTCAAGCAATTTAACCAAATCCTCTCTTACAGGCAAGTTTCTCAGACATGGTCTGCTTTCCGCCTCAAGTCTGGCCCCAAGCTACTGCACCCCTTTTAGCCCTAAGTAATGCCACGGGCCTCTCACTTTTCTCAAAATTCCTTAGCACTCCAATTGGATGTTTCCAAACTTAGACATAAATTTAGTTGCTCATGCTTCATAATTAGGATTCTTTAAAGTCAAGTGGTCCTCACAAAAGCACAAATTCCAGCATATTAGCATAGGAGTTCTTCCCATGAGCATACCCAGAACCACAGGGAACACAGTGACCCAAACAGTAAGCCAAAATCAGACCTGTGATGACCTTCTACCCAATCCAGAAGAGGACAAAGGAAAGGGAAAAGCTATTACTTTCTTTGAGCACTTGCAAAGTGAATAAATACCTGTGAGTATATATTATATAAATTACACACACACACTTGCAGAGTGGGGAAATCATGTCACCTGTTTGGACAATTCAGGCCTGTAAAAAAACACCGAGCCTTTAAGCATCTCTTAGTGGTTGAGCTTCCATTCTTCTTGGGGCTGGAGTGATCCTGGGACTACCTGCGTTCTCCTGACACGAGCGAGGGCGGGTAGGCAGGCAGGCTGGCTTGAGGCTGAGCGTCTGTGATGGCTGCATCGCCGAACCTTGTGGTACAAAAGTAGTTACAGCTGAGCAGCCCTGAGTTAAGCCCTGAGACTCCTTAATTGTTGTCACAAGATGTTGGATTAGCACATTTCTGGAATAGCTGTCTGTTTACACTCTGGAGACCCACCGTCCACTAACCGCTTTCTAATTGAATTCTAATCACATTCAAATAGCTCAATAACCAGCCTCAGCTGCAATTCATAAAACTTTAATTGCCATCCATAAATCCTGGGCTCCCCAGAGCGGGGCGTCCCTACAACCCAATTACACTTCTCTAGCACGCAAAAGAAACGGTCCCAGAGATGAAAAAGGGGAAAGGAGGGATAGACAGAGGACAGAGAGATAGCCATGCCTCCAGCTGAGAAGCTGGTGCTCCCCTAGGATTTGGGCACTTGGTTCTCAGAGGTGGAGGGAGACCTGTCCCCAAGTTTCTTAACACACCATTGTGAACTCAGGCCTGAAGTCAGCTGTTTCGGAAAAAGGATCAGACTTGTAGCAGTTGCTCACCCTCCCTGCTCCAACCAGATTTTCTACAGAGGCAAAAAAGAGAAAGCTGTCACCTCTGCCACCTTACCTTCCCCAGAGATCAATAGCCCCTATCTTGGCAGCCACCCTCTCTCACACAGCCACCGAGGCGCAAGTCTTCCGCTGGAGCCTGTGCCCCTCAGATTTCCTTTACCAAGCCACCGCTCCCATCCTGAGGCAGGATTCCTTGAGTGGCTCAAATTCCTTCAACCTCTTTCAGCTTTTAAAGGGGCGCAGGGGGGGCTGGGGAGAGAGCTGCTCAAGTTCTGTAAAATAGAAAGGCTTAGAAAATCACAGGACCCACAGCAAAGGCCTTCCCCAAGCCTGCCCGGTCTCCAGGAGGGCTGGGTTTGGGTCCTCTCTCCAAAATCATTGCGATGGAGTTTGCAGGGTTGTCCTGGAAATGCATTGGCTTGGAGAAGGGAGAGTGACCCTTCGACGTGTCTCTCCGCCAAAGGGTACACTGCCCATTACAAAGGAGCACAAGGAAGCGTCCTTGATCTGAGCGGCCCCCGGAAAGCCCCAAGTGCAAAGGCATTTTAGAGCGTCTCAAGCATGAGAATGAAAAACTCTGCAGCTTCTTAGGTGGGAGGCTTCACTCTTGGGCCGCGGATCGGTCACGAACTAACCACCTGAATGACTTTGGCCAAGTCCAAATGCTGGGGGACTGTGTGTGTGTCTGTGCGTGTCTGTGTGTACCCGCGGTCCAAGCGGCGGTGCGGGATTCGGCCGCCGCCGGTCTGCCGCCCATACAATCGTGCTCCAAACAGCAGGCCTCACACTCTTCCGCGCCCAGCCGCGGCTAGTACAGAGGAGCGGGGAGCACTGGGCATCCCTATTAAAAAGGCCTCAAGGTCCCCACCTGGTGCGCTTTTCGACCGGGAGTGGGTAAGAGTTGGGCTGGGGCCCGGGCTAGGGAAAGGGGTAGGATGGGGGATGCAGCTCTGATTTCTCGAGAAAGCGTGGAGAAAGAGGGGGAGGAGGCCGGCCTCCCCGCGAAATTAACAAAACCTACACTTTGCAAAGTCTCCCCCATCCCCCTCCTTCGAGTTCTTCCCTGCCGCGCACCCGCCCCTCCTCGCCGCTTCTGTTGTGACTCGGGCAGCCTATCCCGAGGGTGGGGAGCTGCTGAGGAGCCTGAGCCGAGCGGTACTCCGCAGCATCACGTGCCGGGGTGGGGGCTATAAAATCCCGGAGCCGGGGCGCCGGGCGGGGGACGTGAGGACCAGCCCTCTCCAGGGACCCCTTTGTTCGCAGCCCAGACGCCGAACACCTCCGCGTCCCCGAGGGCTCGACCGCCCGCGTCCGCGCCGCGCCCGGGGCAGAGCTCAGAACAGGAGAGGGGAGGGGGCGCCACTGCTGGCCCGGCCCTCCAGCCACCCACCCCTCCCGACATGTCGCGCTCCTTCTATGTCGACTCGCTCATCATCAAGGACTCCTCGCGGCCCGCGCCCTCGCTGCCTGAGCCGCACCCCGGGCCCGATTTCTTCATCCCGCTGGGCATGCCGTCCCCGCTGGTGATGTCGGTGTCTGGGCCCGCCTGCCCGTCCCGCAAGAGTGGCGCGTTCTGCGTTTGCCCACTCTGCGTCACTTCGCACCTGCACTCCTCTCGCGGGCCCGCCGGCTCCGGCGGCGGGGGTGCAGGCACCGGGAGTGCTGGGGCCGGGGGTAGTGGGGCGCCGGGGGGCGCCGGGGCCCTGCCCCTCCTCAAGGGTCAGTTCTCTTCGGGTCCCGGGGACGCGCAGTTCTGCCCACGCGTGAGCCACTCGCACCATCATCACCACCCGCCGCAGCACCACCATCACCACCATCAGCCCCAGCAGCCGGGCTCTGCCGCTGCGGCGGCGGCTGCGGCAGCCGCGGCGGCGGCCGCGGCGGCCTTGGGACACCCTCAGCACCACGCACCTGTCTGCGCTGCCACCACCTACAACGTGGGGGACCCGCGGAGATTCCACTGCCTCACCATGGGTAGGGCGGGGGCTCTGGGCACCTACGCGCCGCGCCTTCCCGGCTCCCAGGAGCAAACTTTCCGCCTCCAGTGGAGGAAGTGGCAGCCTTGCGGGGGGGGGGGGGGGGGGGGGGGGGGAGGAGGGGCTTTTCGTGGAACTGTGGAGTCGTCCCTAGAAGTTCCACGAAGGTGGAAGTTAACTTTCGAACCTCTCCAAGCAGCCTGGTGCGTGCATTCCCGGTACCTGGTGTCCTTGTCTTGCTCAATATCGGGGCCTTTGGGACCTCGAACTTGAGGGTTGAGAAACCGAAGGCTAAACTGGCTGAGGTGCGGGGTGGATAGGTTTGAACTTAAGTGTGGCATTGCGTCGTCGGGGCTAGCTAAAGCCTTTCGATGCTTTTGGCTAAGCCTGCCTGCCTCTCTGCTAGGCTTGAAGGGAGCCGACCGGACAATGCAAGCCTCCACCCCTCTTTAAGCCTCTGACTTTACAACTCACACATCAAAGGCCTTCACTTGCTGTGGGCGTCTCTGTCCTTCCCCGCCGAGTAAAGAAGTGCCCTGAAATGGGAAAGGGTGAGGGATGGATACAGGTGTTTGACTGAGCTTCGCGGGTGGGTCCTGGAGAGGCGTCCTTTCCGAGGGATGGCACGTGGGGTGGGATCGCCTCAGCCGAGAATTACCTCTCTGCCCTCTCTTGGCCGGTCTGCAGGGGGCTCGGACGCCAGCCAGGTACCCAATGGCAAGAGGGTGAGGACGGCGTTCACCAGCACGCAGCTCCTGGAGCTGGAGCGGGAATTCTCTTCCAACATGTACCTGTCTCGGCTCCGGAGGATCGAGATCGCGACATACCTGAACCTGTCAGAGAAGCAGGTGAAAATCTGGTTTCAGAACCGCCGGGTGAAGCATAAGAAAGAAGGGAAGGGCACACAGAGGAACAGTCACGCGGGCTGCAAGTGTGTCGGCAGCCAGGCGCACTATGCGCGCTCCGAGGATGAGGACTCCTTGTCGCCGGCCTCGGCCAACGATGACAAGGAGATTTCTCCCTTATGAGGGAGGGCTGCCTCCCTCTCACCACGCGCTCCTGGCAGCCCCCACAACACCAACGCAGCGGGCACCCAGGGGCCCAGATCCTCGCCCATTCTGTGGTCCCATCTGCAGGAGGATGGAGCTGAGCATTCTGTGGGCATAAGTGCCCAGCCTGACACTTCAAGTCTCCTCCTTGACCTATCTGTTTGAAGCTCCACTCAAAGTTATAGGTCGTTTTTTTTTTTAATGTAAATAACCTAGATTCAACTCAGCCTTGTCATATAACAGAGAAAAAAAAACACGGTTGGCTTAAATTTAACACTGTAGTGGGATTTTGAAAGCGCATGTCATTTCCCCCTTCCCTACTGTCTTTCAGAACCTAAGAAGAACACGGGGTTTCTGGATTATTTTCTGTTGTTGTTTTTTAAATGAAAGTATTGAATTGCAAGTAATTTAGAAAATTAAACCCTGTAGGTCTCGCTTTCTGAAAATTTACCTGGAGAGAGATTGGAATTCAAGTTGCGAAGTCCCTTTGTATGTGAATAGTTTTATATAAAATTTATATTTATATTTATTTAAATAAATGAAACAAAATCAAGGTTTTAAATTTGTGGTGTTTGCGCTCACCATCTTTCCCTGGCTCCCCCTCGCCCATATCTAGAGAAAGGCATGGATGGGGGGGGGTAGGGGGAAGGTGTCTGAGAATTTAGAGGAAAGTGTTGACTAAAAACTAGTCATGTGGGGCTTTGGTTGAAGGAGTTTGTGGCACACCCTCAGTCATGATGTTGCCTACCAAGTAGGAACTCCCCATCCTCAAAATAGCTAAGCTGCTCACAGTTGATAGGACAAGTCACTCCATTTAAAGTGACACTGACAATTAATGAAAAACTTTTTGATTTATTTAGCAGAGAAAGGTAAAAATCCCTTACCTAAGTATTTATTTTCTGTAGCAGTTCCCCTCTTCCCCCTTTCCCCCACATCTCTCTTGGTACCAAAACCTGAAGTATGTGAAGGAATTTGAATAGTCAGAATAGTTTTAGGAAGAGCAACAATCCATCAAACAGGTTGGAAGCATGCACAAGGAAACTTAACAAATGATGCTGCAAGCGACCGGAAACATTAGTTCCTGGTTGTTCCTCTAGCGAAGAAACTGGCTGATTCCATTAGTGCTGAGAAAACAAAAGGGCAGGGACAGGGAATTATTCTGCCCAAAGATTTATACTCTCACTTTTCCAAAATAGCTCCGAGGTGCCTTTGGACTCTTGCAGTTTTTCTTGGTCTCCCTAACTTTAACCTAAATCTGTTCCCTTCTAATCCCTTTCTTCCCATCATCTTGCAGAGTTAATTCCTGCAAACCTGCTCCTGGAGATTTACTCTGGCTCTGCCCTCAGCAGGGCAACCTGGCTTTTTGCTCAGTGCAGCCAGGGCCTGTCACCTAAAGAAGACAAGTGAAGCTGGAAATATGGAAACTAGATCCCATTCCCTGCAAGCTGAGCCTCCTAACACCCATTGATATTATTTCTGATTATTTTCTGTAAAGATGCCACCCAAGAGGTTCAAGCCAAAGAACTGTTTACACATACACACGTTTCTTTGGGTCTGATTTACTTTCAGTATGCAGGAACTGAAACCTTACCAGGTGAGATGGGGCTCTAAAATGGAAGTCAGAAAGCTAGTTTGGGAAAAGAGGAAAAGGGAGGAGGATGTGATCATGGTTTTTCCCTGCCCAGAGTTCATTAGTTCTTCTTTCCTCTCTTTTTCTTTTCCTTTCCTTTTCTTTCTTTTCTCTCTCTGTCTCTCTGTCTCTCTCTCTGTCACACACACACACACACACACACACACACATACACACAGGAGGCTCAGGAGGACTTTCGTCGTCAGTTCCCATTCGGGTACCGGCCAGGGCAGAGGGGAGGGACTGAATAGGGAGTTGTTGATGCTTTGTGCTCCGACCTGGGCATGGTCCTGCGCAGCGGTCACAGGCATCCAGCTCGCTCCTGCCCCGGCCTGGGAGGCTCAGCCTCCCAGTCTCACGGTCTCGCGTGGAGCCTTGGGCCTGTCGCGCTATCCGCGGCGAAGTGGAGGAGGCACCCGCCCGCTGCCCTTCTTGAAGATCCCATCTCCCTCCTTCCCAATAAACAGGCCTCTCCGCGCACAAGTATAAGGGTGGGAGGAAAGGAGTTTCGAGGCGCAAAGAAGGAGCGTTTACGGAGAATTCCTTTTCGGGAAATAACAGGAAGGACAAAGAGCCACTGCTGCAGCTCTCCGCGCTCCTGCCCAATGCGAAGCCTCAGCTGGGCAGTGGGCAGACACCTCCGCCCCCCTCCCATCCACAGCCGGCTGCGGGGTTTGGGGGGGAAGGGCAGTCGCCCCGCGCTCGGCCTCGGCCCTCCCTGAGTCCGAGCCCAGTCGGAACCCGAGCCTCTGTGCCTCGCCTGGCTCCCGCACCCCAGGTCGTGCTCCCGGAGCGCGGAGCCAGCCACCTGCCACATCCAGCCCCACCGCCCTGCGAAGGACACGCTGCGCCAGCCCTTCTCACCGGGTTTTGGGCTGCTTGGATGGTATCAGCCCCTCTCCTTTCTGTCTTTGGGGGAAGTTCCTTGGGGAAAAGAGAATAAGCAATGCGTCCCCCACTAGAGGCAAAAAGTTTCAGGCATAGATACTATTCTCAGAAGAAACCTTCTCCAGGGGTTTCAGGGAGGTTCGAGGATATTCGGTGCCGAGTGGGCCTTCTCACTTTCAGGGTGAACCATGAGGTTTCCCGTCTACTAGGGTAGATTTTACATCTCCGCAAAACCCTCTCTCCCACTCCTGCCCAAAGTAATCATTTGATGTTTTTGAAGTTTGCAAATCCTAATAAGCCTTTAGGAAACTGATTTTAAAGGCCTACAGCTTCACCTTAGGTGAAAAACTCCTAGGCCAACATTGGGACATACTCTGCTAAACAATCTTGGTATCAGTCAAACGCTTTAAGTGAAATATCCACAGATTTATTAAAGAGATGTGTGGGTCACCCTTGACAATTTCTCTACCTGGGAAGCACCAGGTGCTAGCTTTTCATTATGCCCCCACATGAAAAACAGAATTCTGTTTTCCCCAAAACATGGCCTCTTCGGGGCCTATACACCCATTATGGAAAGAGAGAGAGAGAGAATGAAAATGAGAATTAGAAATTAGATTTTGCTCCCCTAAGAAAAAAGAAGCAGGCCGCAGGAGCTATTAGTGTGGTCAAATCCACCTCTTTGAGAGCAAGTCCTGTGGTGGCTTCAGACAGGAAGAGGTTCTGGGTGGGAGCGGAAAGCTCAAAAGATGACCTCCTGCCCTTGTGCTCTAAACCTAGTTCCGACATTCTGAGAGAAAAGGAGGAACAGAGACCTTTCCCCTTCACCCTCCCACTCAGTCACCACCACAAGCCCAAGGCCAGGGACCTAGCATTGACAGCACTTGGCCAGGCTTCTTGATTGCAAACCATGCCCAGGGCAGAAGGGACCCAGCAGCCTAGCCCTGGAGTAGCCACTGACCCAGGTGATAGAGACGCTGGTGATGACAGACTCCCCTTATTCTGAAATATTCAGAAGTGGTCATCTTAGGTTGCTTCCCCTCCCCCTTACACACACATTCCCCCTACTACCCCCGAGGATATCCAAAGGTATTTTAAGAGAAAGAAAAACTTGGGGATGTGAAGTCTTTGATTTTTGGCTCCCTCCTACCTTTTCTCACCCCCATTCTCTACCAGTTCTGATCAGGATCAGAAATGCAGTTTGCTTGGTTTACTCTGGTCAGAGAATTGTCACAAAGGTGATTGTTCTTACTGAAAGTGGTCACAGAAAGCAAGAGGGTCTGTGTGTGTGTGTGTGTGTGTGTGTGTGTGTGTGTGTGTGTGTGAGAGAGAGAGAGAGAGAGAGAGAGAGAGAGAGAGAATTCCACTGGTGGTGGTCACATATATGGAAAGAGAAAAGTTATTTGCACCAGATTTTATTTTATTTTGTTTTGTTTTTCTTCCCACCTCTACCTTTCCCGCAGGTTCTACTCACTTTTCATGGCACTCCTTGGGAGATTTCTTTGAGGGAGGTGGGCAGGTGTTTAGAGTTGGTTTGGGAGGGAGGAGAAAAAGTAGAGGAAGCTGGGAGAGAGGTCTGGGTAGGATCTCCAGCCCAGCCTTAAGGGTGTGGGAGAGAGGGGAAAGACACTCCCAATAGAACCTATTTGCTAGAGGAAATTGGGTTTAAAGGAGCAATCACTGCTTTAAAAGGAGCTCCTCCCACCCTCTCCAAACACAGCCTAAAGCTGTCCTAGACGATGAATACAGCTCAGTGCATCAAAGCAATTGTTCCTATTTTCATTATTCACAGGGAATCTTTGAATGTACCTGTTAAGGTGACAGACCTCTTAAAAGGGAACATTTTTTCCATGCAATTAGATGGTGCATTTACTAGGCTTCTATTAACATAATTTAATATAAATCTATTTTATAAATCTTTAGGCTCATATTACTGAAAATTGAGCTTCTCTGAAAAAAAAAAATGCCCACTTCTTTCCCCTAAATTAGATGTAATAGAATCCCAAAACTTGCTATTCTAAGCCAGCTGGAAATATTAAAAGTAGAAGAATCTTTTGTATTGTCTTTTGTTAATGGTGAAAGTGTGAAGAAAAAAGGCAGTTTGTTTCACAGAAGATAAGTAATTCTAACAGGGATGCAGGTTTCCTACACCCAAGGCCCGGCCCTTGGAGTCCCACAGGCTGGGACTGAGGGGGACCAACAAGAAGAGGAACTGAAAGAGAACTCTCAGAGAACAAAAGCCAGCCCCGATTCATATTTGGAGGTAAGTTTCTTTGGTCTGAGGAAAGAAAACCCAAAGCCTCTAAGACCTCACCGTCCTGCAAGCTACTCCACATTGAGGTAGATGTTGTTGTCTGTTCCCATGGCTGGGCTCCTTGTTCGCAAGTGCACCCTCCAAAATTCTGAGCATACCATTATCTCTGAAAATAGTGTTTTGTGTGCCCTTATACTGATGTCCGTGCCT